TGTATTTATCCGCTCAGACGTATTACCACTGTTTTCACCAACTTATCCCTCCACGTGAAGTAGTCCGCCACTTGATTATTTTCATGTTATTTCAGGGACGGTCATGTTATTCGAAAAACGTTCCCTAAAAAAAAATCGTGCTATTGCAAAAACGTGTTAAGTGGGCACGTGTTAAACGAGTAATTACTGTACACCTGTGTAATATATGAGTATCAAATTAGTCACTGGAAATTATAAACTCATTCATTTGGTCGGGTATTTCCATCAAAGTTGCCAAAGTTAGTCACTCTAACCAAAGTTGCTACAATTCAAAGGGAGGAATTCATGTATTTATTTTACAACCACAATTATATAAAGTACATTCTGTATAAGTTTAAGACATGATTGTTTAATTCACCATTTTTTGTACTTTGTATCTCTCATAGCTGTGCAAAATGAGCGTAAAATGCCACAATTCTGAACTGGTGACATTTTAAATCCACTTAGCCTAGATACCAATAACTATTTAATATGCCAGGCAGTGGAAAATCAACTCTGAAATGTTGTTTGCTTCTTTGAGTTTTAAGTATGGAACTTTGGTGATATTCAGGCAGGATACATTGAGCATAAATGAAAATGTTTTATTTGTGTTTTCAATCTAACTAATAGTAATCAAGTGAAATGTCAACACTCTCCTAATGTCTGTTGATATAAGCATCAACCTTTGTTGACATATAATGAAAATCTTGATTCTGTAAGTGAAATCCTGATCCCAATGAAATCAGTGAGAAACTCTTCAATGGGGCCAAAATTTAACTCTGGGTGACTGGAGGCCCTAACCTGCTTATAGAAAAGCTGATGGCAAAAATCCCACTGGCTTCAATTATAACCTGATCAGGCCCCATGGGAAGTTTATCACTATCTCTAGTTGGATGTTGCACATAGAGGCTTTTATTCCTTTCTGTTGTTTTAATGCTTGGCTAACCCGGCAAACCCCTTGCAAGTGTACTTTTAGGTCTGCAACACAGTGATGTATTGATATTGCCAGGCCATGTTAATAGCCAGAGCAATTGTCAAGTGGTACAAAGCTGTTGGCACTTTGATGAACCATGCTGATCCATCACCTTGCCTAGATTTAACATTTTGCTGCAAAGAGAATTCTATTTCTCTTTTAGAAAAAACACCAACAACTCTATTTCAATGGAGATATTAAATTAGCTTTTGCTCTGTCAAAATCCAGACCCACCCAGTATACCAACCTGTTCATCAATACAATGCATTTAAGTTACTGATGTGGTTGTTTGGCTCAAAATATACCAGTTAAAGTAACTGTCCAAAACACATTTCTTTAATTCCAAAATTTATACAAATTTACAAATCAAAATACAACTACACAGAATAGAAAAAGGAAGAGAAGATATATCCAGCATTGTTTTATTCTATTATAACAATGCTTAACCATGGTAAAATTTGACATAATATTGCAAGATGGTGAATCAAAAATTAATGATAGCAAAGTGTCGGCATAGAATATCAATAATTCTTTTGTTCCTAAAAAATACAATATTTAGCTTCTAGATGGAAAAAAATAAAAACCAAACACACAAACAAGCCTACTGGTATAAAAACAACTTTCTTGTGTTGCTACAAGAAGCTTATATGAACTGTATTTCCCTTCAAGTTCAGGAAAAAGCTCTAGGGATTGATATACTATAAAACAGCCTCATTCATAAAATTTAATAAATGGAAATCTGCCATGATATTACACTGAATTATGTTTTTTCAACTGCATCTCTCCTTCTTGATCTACCTCTATACTTTCATTAAATTTGTCAAATGCCTGTTTCTAAGCAGATGAGTTAAACTTAGAATTCAAGGGTATTTGCTTTTTCTTTCTTTTTATTTTATTCTCAGAATACTTCACTAGAAACCTAAAAATGTCTTTCATGACTGATTTCCTAAATACCATTCTTGTCCTTCAGAAGCTAGTTTTTATATCCTGGCAGCAAGTATTGCACTGTGCTTTGTACAATAAAAATACCAATATCAACAACAGTAGAGCTAAATCTGGTGGCTCCTAGTTGTAGGAGGCAAATTTGTTTTTCATCCTGAGAACATCTTACTTTTGATTTACAGCAGCTGCACAGTTTTAACTCCTTGAGATACAATTTAAAAAGGGTGTAAAAACATTAAATAATGCACTTTTGACATGCCAGGATAACCAGTATTGAGGGACACAGCATAAGCCTTTAACCCATGACACCGTATGACAAAAGTACTTTGAAGTAAATAAATGACCAAGGGCTAGATTGTGATGTCTGTTTTTAGCAGCATAAAGCTCTAGCTATACTACACAGATACAGTAATGTCAGGGAATCTGATTGCAACTCATTTTGCTGCTAACTTGATTATAAACATGGAGCCTGATCCTATGCCTACCAAAGTGAAGGAAATTCTATTAACTTCAATGGATGCTGGCCTGGAGCTGTGGTGGTTCTAATCTGTATGGGTATGTCTATGCTAGTCACCCTAGTTCGGACTAAATGCCCAGTAGTTTGAACTACCTGCCCGTGGCTACACGCGGCACGGGCTAGGTAGTTTGAACTAAAGCTCCTAATTCAAACTACCGTTACTCCTCATTGCAGATTAGAATAATTGCAGGAGGAGTAACGGTAGTTCGAATTAGGAGCTTTAGGTCGAACTACCTAGCCCATGCCGCGTGTAGCCGCGGGCCGGTAGTTCGAACTACCGAGCATTTAAAAATGGCGGCGCCCGGGAACATGCAAATGAAGCCCAGGATATTTAAATCCCAGGCTTCATTTACAAGTTCGAATGACTACATTAGCCACCCTAGTCCGAACTAGGGTGGCTAGTGTAGACATACCCTAACAGACTTTACTGTAAATACATTTTTATTCATGATAAATCATCAGTCAGATGAGATCTGTTATCAGGTTAGAGACAACCAAGTCAAAAGTGGGGATGTAAAAATGTATTTAAAAATGTAACCGTGTAACTGTAGCAGGGTTGGCTGGGCCTTGCAAGAGTCCTGGGAGGTCCCGATAAATCTGTGAGCCGGGGCAGAGGCTTCCACAGCCTTGTCCAGAGTGCTGTAGGCTCTTAAATAAGCTTTGTACTGCACAGCCCGCAGCACAGGCTCCCTGGGAGCAGGGCTAGCAAGGGTTGATGGCCCTGCTCCTGGGAGGCTTTGCTGCAGGCTTTGCAGCTGGCTTCCTTGGAGCTGGACTGGCAGCTTCTACCGGCCCCAGTCCAGGGAGTCAGCATGTAACCTGTGGTAGGAGCTGGCCAGACCCATCACAGACCAGGGCTGCTCTGGTGGGTCCCACAGAGCTGGAGCAGCCCCCTGTCTGGGGCGGGCATGGAGCTGCTCCTGCTCCTACTGGTTAACCAGAACCTTTAAGGGTGAGGCTTACTGGTAAACCTTAATTGGTTAACATTTTATATCCTTAGTTGTAAGCAGTCTCCTTAACGTGGATGTAGCATAAATGTTGACAAGACTTGTATCTGAAGCAACTCCATTGAAGATGGGGCACTGAGAAAAATGAATTCAGAAACAACATCTACCTTTGAATGTTTAGGATTGTTTTAAGTTTGGGTCTCAGCTTTCTTTCAATTTTAAAGAAAAATATTCTTTAGTGTTGATCTGAAAAGATTTATAGCTGCCAATGAGCAAGTTCAATATTTCTTCTGTACTAATGGACATAAGTTTCACCAAAACAGGGCAGGACATGGTCTTAAATTTTTGCACTGCTTTAGGAGTTAGTAGTGTCAACTATAGAATAGCACACATGGAACTTTGAACTTTGGTGTTTCTAGATAAGTGCCTGATCCTTCAAACCCTTACAGCCCTGTAAACCCATTGTATGTCTTATTATGGTAAAAAAGCTCATTGATTTCAATGAGACTATTCATGGCATTAAGCTTTGTCCTTGGAAGTATTGTAGGATCAGCCCTTTACAGACTTAGTCCTCCAATCCCTGTTCAAAATGATTTATAGCTACTGGTATCTTGTCTTCAAACATGTTTAATTTTTAAGTCTGCATATATTTTCCATTAATCATTTAGGATTTTTCACAATTTTTAAAAGCTTCCCAGTTCACCCATGAGGAAATACAAATGTCATTTAACAGGCTAGAATGACGCCTTCAAACATTACGCTCTGTTTTGTACATAAGAGTTTAGGATTTTATTAAAGGATCCATCCTGTGTACCCTGAAGTACAATACAGTGGGATGTCTAGGTGAAAAATAAATACAAGATTGAGACTTGAGTCTATTATTATCCATAATTTTGAAACTGTTATTCCAGTCTAATGAATGTTGTACATATATAGGTTGAACCTCTCTAGTCTAGAACTTTCTGGTCCAGAAACATCCATCATCCAGAATGATTTTAGTTAGCCGGATGTCCACGTTTCATGCGTGTGGCCAAATTTATTGCCAGGGCTCACCGAAACGTGGTGAGCCCCGCTCGCCAGCCACGCTGTCCGGCGATCTGCGCATGCACAGATCATTCTGCGCACGCGCAGATCGCCCGAACCTGGGTCTTCCGGGTTGCAATCTACTCGCCACGGGCGAGTAGATTGTATTATTTGTCGAGCCCTGTTTATTGCAGCCCATAAAGTTTGTTTACAGCCACCAGTCCTATCTCTTAGTGTTCTGTGCTGTTATTCAGCTCTAATTTATACCTAATTGTCTTCTAACTGCCCAGTAAGCAGTGGAAGTGTTTGTAATGCTGCTAGATAATTCCGGAAAATTCTCTGATTTAGAACTGGTCAGGTTCCAAGGGTGCCGGACTAGAGAGGTTCAAGCTGTATTTCTGTCCACTTAGATTGCCGAACACAATACAGGTAACAAAGTCATGGTCAAGTGTTCTAAAATATAACTGTATTAATTGTCTATCTGGCTAAAAGTTCAAACTCACATCAGCTAATTGGATTATTTTTGACAGCGGGGTGGGAAAATTATCACCTTATTTCTCCTTCATTTTCTGCCTTACGAACTGCCATGTTGACTATCCCCAGTCAGTTTTTCCTTCTCTAAGGCTCATGTTACAGTAGTTTTGATTATTTCCTGTTGAGTTGCAAGGGCTTAGATATGTACCGTATTCCTTTTCACTACAGCAATTTGAAAAAAGGCTCTGAAGGAACTAATACAAAGGAACAAGAGACATATCGGCGACTTGAAGCGGTGCAGCTCAGCACGAAAAGGCAAACTTACCTCATCAAGCACTGCAATGTATCACAATTTCATTAACTTGTCTATCACTTGGTCAATACTTTACAGCTTTTGTCCACCAAACCCATTGAAATTTACAATATATAAAATACATGTACAGGATTAAACATGTGTGTATGTATATTATGCATAAATTACTTCTAAGTTCTAATTTAGCAAAGCATTTAAGTGTGTGGATAAGTCTTACCAAGGTCAACTTTCCTTGTCTCATGTTCAGCATGTAAGTGCTTTATTGTATTAGGGCCACAGTATATCTTATTTTTAACAGAGGCGGCCACGGTAGATCCTATTAGTTGTCAAATGTATAGAATGGCATATGTTCTCCAAGGCAAAACCCAGCATTGATTTCAATTGGAGTAGAAAGGGGCTCTAAAATTCCTAGTCCTGCTGGCTTTAATTTACATGGGAAGTCATTATACACACAGTGATATCACTGGGACTATTATCCTGCATACATTTTGCAGGATCAGGCAATACATTTGTGAAAATTAATACAGGGCAGATGTCATAGCCTCTTTTCCAATTATAAAATTTTTGGTTATTTTTTTAAAACTATCGAAGTGACTATAATATATTAAGGACTGTCAGTTGTCCCATTTACTTTTTTTTTTATAAAGAAAAACTTAAATGCTTCATTGTCAAAATAGAAAATTTCTATATTGTTACACATTCCACACTTTCTTCTACATTTGGCAACAAACGAACAAAAACAGTCTCAGGAAAAGAATTGTTTTGCCAAGCTTTAATCCAAGCTACATTTTTATGGCTGGGATTTAAACCCTGAAAACAAGGGATTTTATTCGGAATACTCTCACAACTATAATTCTAGCGACACGCACATTTATATATGATTTAGAGTGGTATACATCTTCATTGCTTCCTTGATGTAAAAATGCTGCTCTATAGTTACAAAATAATGGCATTGCAGAAGCCAAATTATTCCATACTAATTCTATTTTTAATACACCTAATTGATTCCAGTAAGAGGTGGAACAATGCTGGTTATTTTTATTTGATACAAGCTTGTAGTTGGCTGTTTCAGTAATTATTGATATTTTGGGGTTCTTACTCTGCATTTTATAGGATTTTTACCAAAATTAAAGTGTTTCTAAAGGTCCTATCAACCTATTTCTTAAAACGTTTGAATCGATTTATTCAAAAATAAACAGAAAGCCAGCTCATGAAAAGCACCCTGCTATTGCTTGAATGCCCTTTACAAAAATAATCCATCCCATTTACGCAAACCTGGTCTTGTAAATAGTAAAGAGTGAGATCTAATTTTAACAACTAAATTGCATTCTGCCTTTAGGCTAACATCTAAAATGACAATCTTTCATTTTATAAATTAAAAACACTCCACATGAATCTATTGCAAATTCTGAGGTAAAAATCACTATACACAGACCTTTTATTGCCTGGAAAAAAATATTTAGTTTTCATAATTAAAAACTAAACATAAAAGACAAAAATAAATTGTAATTATGTACACACATAAAAAAGGATAAATAGTATATATACCGTAATACTGTATTACATGTATGTTTATGTGTACTCCAGGTCCAGAAAATTTATTGTGTATATAAATCAAAAGATAAATAAGTGCCAATATAAGACAGAGAATTTTTTAGTGTAAACAATGACAAAGGCTTGTAATAGGCCTTGGGGCTAACGTAACAAAAGCACATATTGCCTTTCACGCTCCATACCATTTAATTGTAATATTACTGTATTCACAAATACACTTTCAGAAGTTACTGAGTTAATAAGTATTCTTCGCATACAACAAAAACAGGCTATAGACGCTAAGGATTTTCTGTAGCTTTTACAAGGCCCTTGATGAAGATGTATTGATCCACATGTTAATTCCTTCTAGAAGCAATCCAAGGCATCCATCTAATGTAGCTCTTAAAGGTAACGTCACATTGTAAAACACTTCCCAAACCTACTTATATGCAAATTCATGGCCGATTTCAGTACTAATTTTGGATTCAAATTAGAATGGCACGATTGTCAATACCGTCTGCCATAGTTCAGAGCGACATTGGTGCCACTACTTTAACAACAACATGAGTGACAGACAAAAGATGAATATTTCAAAACCTGAATCCTTTCATTGCACTCACAGTGTCTTGCTATATGTCCTTTAAAATCTACTTGGTAATTCTGATGGATAATCATGGAGAATTCAAGGTGCAATTGTATTTAAAAAAACACCGAGTATATTTAGCTGTGTTATATGAATACTCAATATATTTTCTTTAAGCATGCTTGTCAGAATTTTTAAAAATACATCTGAATTATAATAAGAATATTTTCTGGCAACGGGGTTCACTGGCACCACGAAAATTACTGTACTTCACTAAAGTACTGATGAAATGAGGACATGGTGGTTTACTGTCTTATACGACAGGCTGAGGTCTCTAGAAAACACACACACAGTTGTTCAAATGCCCAGATTTACAATGCTTTTCCTCCTACCATCCAAATATATAATTAAACCAGTTTCATAAAGAACTTGCTATCTGTTTGTTCTTTTTTTCTGTAAGCTGACAGGTGAAGTCTCTTTTTTCCTCTCTCTGTATGTTCCCATTGTCCCCACAATTACCCTCAGTCACCATGATGTAAATTCTGATAAGTTCTTGGCCACAGGCTGTCAAACGATTGTCTTCAGCTCATCTTCTCTGGTCAAGCTTTGATGACAAAAATATCAATGTATCTGTGTGAACTAGTCACAGAACCACGATCTCTCTTACCATCAACACATGGTTTAGTTAAAATGGAATGCTACCCCCCACTTTCCCTGGGTTCTGTTCCCAGTCCAATCTCTTGTTCTCTAATAAAGATGAGGGCCACATTTTTCATTAACATCTGGGTAAGCTGCAACACACACTCACACTTTTTCAAGTTGCAGTGCAATCTCAGGTCTTCACGATGCAATGATTTCCCTGAAGGAAACTGGTGTGTGAAATATAGGATACTGTCAAACAATTATGGGCGATGAAACCTGAAATATTAAATAAATAAATAAATTATAGGCTAAAGTTATTATTTTATCTGACAACGGCACTGGATTGATTCTGAATTCACACCTACACTGAATTAACAGAGCTGCTCCTGATTTTTACTGATGTAAATGAGATCCAGACTAAATTGCGTCTCATGTTTGAAACAACTGATTGGAAATCAGAAAAGCTGAGTATCTTTGAAAAACATGCAAGTACTTTTAAGTTTGCTTCCTCATCAGTAAAATGGGGAAAATACAACTTAAACATCTTTGCATGTTGTGTTGAGATCCTAGGATGAAAGATACTTTGCACAATATTATCTTTTTATTAGTGCAGTCAGTTATACCAGATAAAGTGTTAGAAGATTACCAGTACCTGGTAAAATAATCTATCATCAAGGATATTAATTTCTGTTTCAGTTGTTTCAAAATGTATACACGAGCATAGAAAATATAAAACAATATCTATCTATCTATCTAGAATAATTCATCCAATGTGGCAAAATATTCTGTTGTGTGTAGATATGTTTATATGTTTTCTTCTGATATAGGAGGACAAGAGAAAATAAGCTGCAAGGCAAGGCAAGAGAAAATAAGCTACACTCTACACTCGTGGCCAGATGCAGTTTGCTATAGCTAGCTCCTGGTGGGCTGCCGGTGCCTTATTTACCTGCATGTCCACAGGTATGGCCACTTGCAGCTCCCATTGGCCGTGGATCACTGTTCCTGGTCAATGGGAGCTGCAGGAAGCAGTGTCCCAGTCTGCACCACTTCCTGCAGCTCCCATTAGCTAGAAACAGTGATCCACGGCTAACAGGGGCTACAAGCATCTGTACCTGTGAATATGCAAATAAATAAAACATGGGTGGCCGACCCGTGGCTAACCC